GACATCTTGCTGAACGGCAAAGGAGCTGCTGACAGGTCACTGGGTGCAAGACTGCAAGTGTTTTAACATCTGCTGTCAAAATTCAGATGCTTTCTTAACACTGCATAAGTGATCCGTTGCTGACAGAGGATTTGACCCTAAGTGGTAAGACCAGCCAGTCTCGTTTTGCACACAGTAAATGTGAAGAAGTGTATGCAATGTCAGTTAAGAAACCATAAGCAATCTTGCTTCTGCTTGGTGGGGGTTCAGCTATAGAGGTACACAGCAGCACAGAGTGCTTCCCACAGCTCAAAAAAAAGCCATAAAGCAAAGACAGGGAAATCTGTATTTCAACAGCACACCTGATACCTATGTTTAAAATAATCTTGGGAGCATTGGCCCCTTTCTCTCACTACCCAGGACTACATGTGGGCCTGACACCAGGTTAGGTGCTAATCCCGGCCCTATCAACATCTTTCTGTATTTCCATGCATATGCCACAAAGGTCAGTGTTTTAAAAGCATACTGCACTTCTCAGTGTCCTTCTTGTCCTAGTCATGTCAGGAAAGCTGAGAATCTAATTCTTCCATTCCCTTCTGTCTGATGCAGGGTTACTGGTTTATGCCTTTCCAAAATCCCACATCTTTCCAAAATGCTCTGGAGCTCTGTTATTGTCCATAACACATTACAGACCTGAAAGGAAGGATGTTATAGAAGAACAGAGCATAAGAAAGCTATTTACAAAGCTGCATTGGGAACACAAAGATCCAGGCATACAAATGCATTCTTATTTATGTACAAAAACATGCAAAAGCCTGAAGATGCTTTTAATCAAGGCTCAGATCAAGCCAAAAGATTAATCTGGAAGACCACAGCCTTTATCTCTGATGGTCTTTTACATATTTTCACCTGGGAATATGGGAGATTTCTTTCAAAGAAAAAGACATCCAGATGGCTGGAGACTGAACTGGAGGCTAAAGTTGCCCAGATAAAAACAAAAAAAAGAGTGAAATAAAGCAAGAAACTGGAGTCAGAGAAGAAGGCAGATACAACACAGGTGCAGAAGAAGGGCAAGCAACCACCACCTGTAAGGGAAAAGAAGACGACAAAAAGAATTGATCACAAAGCACCTGAAGAATGCACAACCATGAAAGCAGAGGAGGGACTGAAGTGACAGACACTAAAAGAGAAGGACCTGATAGTGCCTGGGTAACTATCTCAGCTTTGAGTACAACCTCAAGAAGAAAATTTTCGAAGGGAAAGCAGTCAGCATTGAAAAAACCTAGGAGGCAAATCAGAACAAAGCAATATACAGAAACAGAGGAATGAAAAACAGAGGACAGTGGAAAAGAGCAGTAGTAGAGGAGCATTAGCAACAAAAGGGACAAGGATTGAAAGCCTAGGGAAATGATGCTTAGCAGAAAAAACAGCCTCAGCAACAAATAGCAGGCTTGTTTCCAGCCTTACTACAAACACTGGCACACAGAAGGTATGCATATGAGGGAGAAGTGTAGGAGCTTACTTATTTTCAGAGATTTTCTTGTCAAAAACTGGGATCTATACCCTAACTTACCAATTAACTTTATAGTGGCCATTATGGCTCAGTAAATTCCAATCATCAGGCCCTGAGTGGGTAGTAAGAAGTGCAAAGGCACTGCCGTCTACATCCTGAACTCCCAAAGCCACTGAGATGTGGGCTATATTTTGACTTAGGGAAAACAAAGCAAAAGTCTACGGACTCCAGAGCCAGCTAGTCAACTACAGAATTCATCCACTGCAAGAATATTCTGATAGATAAAAGGACATGAAACAGCCTCAGCCTTAACAAGCTCAAGGCAAATATAGGAAAGGCAGTACAGGAGAAGTTAAAATTATTTTTAAGTTACTGTAATGAAAGTTATGTGAAAAGCCAAAAATCTTAAGAATTTCATATAATGTTCCAAGATGTTTAAAATAAAATTAATGCCTTCATAGCACATTAATTAAGTTTTTCAAATAACTTGTGAATCAAAGCCTCTCTGTTCCAGAATATTTGAGATAATGGCTACCAAAAATGATTGAAAATATTTATGTGGAAATCTAAAAATAAAAGAAACTGAAATTCAGAGCAAGCATTTCATCTCATGTTTAGCTTGCGTCATCATTATTGAGTTTTACAATTTTAGCATAAACATCATAATCTAGGAGTGGATCTGGTTTATGGTTCTGAATTTGTGCCATTTGCAAACTTTATAAAGCCCTTTGTAACATGAAAATTACTAAATCTCTACCTCTTAGTACAAAATTAGGAATGTCACAGTGATCCCCTCTTTTCTTCTTGCCTGCTCTAAAGCCCACAAGCCCTCCTACTACAGCTGCAGAAACACCCAGGTGGCTCTCAGAGACCTCAGAGGCCATGAGGAACTATTTCAGTACTTCTGGATTTTGGGCTCCAACCCTTGGTTGCAGGAGCAAGAAGATGTCCTCAGGCTCTACAAAGCCAGCTCACATTACTGAGTTTTATTAGCTCAAGTTTCAGAAGTTGCATGGGTCTGTATGGTCTATACAGCTGCAGCATGGATAGACCAACAAGATGAAACATGCTTGTGTAACTGGAAGGGGATCAGATGATCAGCAAGGGTTGTTGTTCTCTCTTTGAAAGAGCTCCTGTTGTGCAGATCCTCTTGCAGATCACTGGGGGTTGTCCAGGAATCTCAGATACCATCTCACAGCTCTAGACCATCACGTTGGTCCCTCTTTTTTTCTGCTTTCTTTGATTAGTTACGGCTTTCTGGCACATGTTCTGGACCAAGGAAGGAGGCTGCTTGTTCTCAGTCACTGTGGGCCACTACTGCTAATGCTCTTCTCCCCACCCCAAAGATCAAATATTTTCAGATTGACCTAAACCATTTATGAATCACAGAATACCAGACTGGAAGGGACCTCATCTGGTCCAACCTTTCGAGGCAAAGCATGAGCTAGACTAATGTCCCAGCACCCTGCCCAGCCAAACCTTGTAAGTGTCCTGTGTTGGGGAATCCACCAGTTCCCTAGGGAGATTATTGCAATATCTGGTTGTTCTCATTGGGAAAAAAGTTTCCTCTTTTGTCCAATTAGAATCTCCCCAGGAAAACTTTTGCCCATGACCCCTTATGCTTTCTATCTGATTCCCTGCAAAAAGGGAGTCTCCATCTTCTCTGTAGCCACACTCTAAATACTGGAACCTGGTGGAAAATTCTGCCCTAAGCCATCTTTCTCTAGGCTGAACAAACCCTGTTCTCTCAGCCTTTCCTCCTATGGCTTCCCAGTCCTTTGATCATCTGTGGCTTTTCTCTGGACCCACTCCAGCCTGACCACATCTATCTTGTTTAACAGGGACCTCAATTAAGCACGGTATTCTGGGTGCGGCCTGACAAGCGCTGAGTAGAGTGGGATAATGACATCTTTGTCTCTGCTGGTGATGCCTTTGTTGATGTAACACAGTCTGTGGGATATGAAAAGGGTTTTATCAGCCAGGTCATCTTCTGCTTTTAAATCAAACACTTTGCAAATCTAGTAGATGAGATCCAGAAATAAATCTGACTGGGCTGTTCATCCTGTACAGGCATCCACACAGACATACCCATGCAGAGCCTGAAGGCAGACAGTGAGGTCTCACGGAATACATCCCACACCACTACTCCCAGAGTAGGGTTACAGCCACAAAGGTTAGGACACAGCCTCACTTTATTGTCTGAACTGAGCAAAGACCAAATAGTAAAACTAAAGGAAAGTGACAAAACTTACAGCTAGGTGTAATTAAAAGAATTTTTACGGAAGTTTTTAAAAACAGGATTTCAACCTGTCTGCTCAGTGTCCCTCAAAGATTCTCTGGCAGACTGGGGACACCTTAAGTGCATTAAAACCTGCCATGAAGGGAAGCATCATATGCTGTAACAGTGATGAAACAGCATGACAATGATCTGAAGACTATGTAGGGTTGCTATAGCAGTGACAGAGTGTGGGGTGCTGCAGCTTTGGGACATGCTTGTTTGCCTGGTGTGTACAATAATACCCAGTTTAGACTGGATATTAAGAAAAAAATCTTTACCAGGAGGGTGCTCAAGCATTAGAACAGGCTGCCCAGGGCAGTGGTGGAATCACCATCCCTGGAAGTGTTCACAAGCAGTGTAGATGAGGCCCTCAGTGACATGGTTTAACGGTGAACTGGCAGTGCTGGGGTAACAGTTGGGCTTGATGATCTTTCCAAACCTTGTTGATTCTTTGAGTCTACGAATCGATACAGAACACACAGGTGTCCTACCAGGGTGATGACGCACCTCAGTGCTGGGACAGTGATGCCACATCGTGTAACCACGCAGTAAGCAGTTCCAAGCCCTGGTGCCTCACCCAGCCCTGTGGGATTACAGGTCTGCAGGGCACTCTGGGTGTAGGGGGGGGAACAAGCTGGGCTACACATGATGGCATAACATACGGTAGCTCTGGGAACCGTCATGTCACCCTCACGCTGTGGCACCCCGCCAGAGCAGGGACTGAGGGCGGCAGGGCTACAGAAGGCGGTGCGGAGCGGAGCGCCGTTCCCTCGTGTGAACCGCTACCTCCCGCTGCACGAGGCACTGCCGTGACGCCATTCGGGGTGGGACGACGTCACGGCGGCGGTGACCTCACACCGCCACCGCCCTACTGCGATGCCGACACGGGACGAGCCCTTACCTGCCGGTGCTTGTCGGCCGCCTTGCCTGGCATCGCGACTGCCCCGGCGGCTCCCCGACACCGGCCGCTTCTCACCGCAGCTGGACGGAAGTTGACAGCTGTAACTATGGCAACGTACCGGAAGCGGCGTGCGGAAAGCCGCTGGCCACAGCTATTTCTCCCCCTCCCCTCCCCTCCCTTCACCCCAAGTGCCCTCGCTACCTCCCCCCGAGGTGGGGAATGGTACGTCCCGGCCGGCCGGGCGGGGGGGGGCAGCGGGGAACCCAGCATCCGGGCTCCTGGGGTGCTGACAGTGGCCACGCCCCTCCCTCCCTTCATGAATATGCAGATAAGGGGTGGGGCTGTGGAGGCCGGACCCGGAAGCGGCGCGGCTGAGTCACGGCGGCGGCGGCGTTGAGGCAGTGATCGCGGCTGGTGGCGGTATTGTCGGTGTCGTCCTTCGGCGCGTGAGGAGCCTCCCTGCGCTCTCCCGTCCGCCCGCCTTCAGTCCGCCCGTGCCGCGCCCCAGCCCCGCCGCCACCATGATGGAGGAGATAGACCGGTTCCAGGTGCCCGCCGTGCGCGCCGAGATGCAGCCGCTGGTGAGGGGAGGGAGGGGCGGGCGGGGCCGCGATGTCCCCGGGAGCCGCCGCCGCTGTCTCATCGCGGTGTCCGGGGACGGAGCGGGAGCAGCAGTGCCAGGAGGAAGAGGAAGGGGGGGAACCGGTGTCAGTGCTGGGGTCGGGTCTGCGGGCCGCGACCGTTATGTAACGGCCGTCCCCTCAGCGCCGCCGCCATCCCCGCCGGGCCCCGGGGCTGTGCCCAGCGGCGGCTGCTGCTGTGTCATCCCGCGGTCACCGTAGGCACGGCTGCCCGTCCGCCTCGATCGTCCTATCCCCTCGGCGCCGCCGGTAGCTACGGCAGAACCCGCCTGCGGGGAGGGTGGCAGCAGCTGCGCTCCTGCCTCCGTGCAGCCGTCGCCTCTCCCGAGCATCATCCCGGCCTGGCTGGCGATGGGGCGGGTGTTCGCCGCCGCCTTAGCCGGGCTCCCCAGCGAAGGGCGGGCTGCCAGAGCAGCCGGGTGCGCTGGGGACTGCGGGGTTTTAGTTGGGTCTCACAAGATACGTGAGATCTGGGGTGAAAATTAGGTGGTGGTTGCGCGCAGCGCGGTCTGGGAGCTGCGAGGCGCGGTGATCCCCAGGGACTGGATTAGCCTCCCGGGTTGGGTGTGAAATAAGTGCGGTGCGAGGCTGGAGGACCTTCCCCATGGCTGATTTTACAGCCGCTGCTCTCAGTACGGAGCTGCTGTTGGATGCTCGTCGTGTGAAAAGTCCAGGTGTTTTACAAAGAAACAGCTCTGGAAATCCGTTTTGCTGACAAAATAATTTACATTAAAAAACACCCCCCAAACTGTGAGTGCTTGATTTCCGCTCCTTCCCCCTCCTTCCCTTTGCCAGGGCGTGTGTTCTTCATATCAGGATGTTTTTTCACTTCATAGATGCAATTATATTCAGTTAATGAGCTCTGAAGAGGTTGACATGATGGTTACCCTACTACATGGGACCCTGGGGAATGTTTGCAGCAAAGGAAGTATACGGCTTGTGGGGCTTCACAGCTGTGTAAATGGGCAGGTAGAGTGGCCCTGGGCTTTTGGTAGCTTTTGAAATGACAGTTATGAAGGAAGGCCAGCTGGCTGGCAGCCATAGGAGATGCTAGACTAAGCACTCGAAAGACTTCTTATGAGCACGTAGCTGCTTTGCTTTGATGCTACAGGCTTGCCTTTGTATGATGTTGTGCCCCAGCTGCATGCCACAGAACATCTGAATGTTTCCACTTCTGTTTCCCATCTGAGAGAGGTACTGGTGGGTTCCTTTGCCCTTATTCCAGTCTGCCTCGCTCTCTGCTTGTTGTATTATTACGTATAACCTGGGACCTGTTGAAATACAGTTCACCTTGGCATTAAACTGAAAGCTGGATAATGGGCTGACTCACTCAAGTTGCTGATTCTCTTTGGCACCTGGAGTAAGCACATTCCATCTCAGCCTCTGATTGTGTGAGATGGGAATATGAAATGTTTGAAGAGGTGGAAAGAACTTTAATGAAATACTTGCATGGATCCATTTGACAGCAGGTGAGGGTAGGTTATTGGCAGGTTTATGTTACCACTGAAGACGCTACTGAGATTTCCAGTATATCAAACTGTACATTAGAGTTATCTATCAATCCTTGGTTTCTTGTTGCAGCTGGTGTTTGTAAAAAGTTGAGAACACTGTAATTGTCTCATGAACAGAAGGACCCTGTGAAGGTCTACAAACTCAAATTACCCCTTAGTGGCAAGAAAAAAGCCCTTTCAATGGTGCGAGTGTTGACAAATTGTGAACATGCATTTTAGTTTCATTTTTGTTGTTGTTTGGATCTTTTCCCACCTTTGTGGTGGGAAAGAAAACTGTCCGTTCAAGCTGATACAGGCTTGTTGCATGTGCTACTTGTCTGAGTTTTTATCAAGCAGAGACAACAGATCACTCTGAACATCCCTGCTTCCTTCTTCCTTCCCCACCTCTGTATGCTGAGCATGACTCCATTTGGTATGGGATATCCCTTGGTTCAGTTGAGGTCAGTTGTCCTGTTTGTGTTCACTCCCAACATCTTGTGCACCTTCAGTCTGCCAGAGATCTGTCTAAAAGCCATCTGACAGGCAGGTCTGCTAATCTTCTGATGTTCGAAATCAAGAGACAGGTACGGCTGTTAAATGCTGAAGGGAAGTCATTCTTGCAAGGTAGTCTGAAGCTTTTCTGAGCCCCTCAGCCTCCAAACCTGCCACTGATACTGACACTATTGATGAGCTGTCTGTCAGGGATGATAGTATGCTAATATCTGATGTCCACTGAGTACATCCTGACAATAACCAGTGTTGTATTTACTGAGCAGAGACAGAGAACCTGACATATCCATGGCTTCTTGCAAAAGTAAGTTCTTTAAAACTCAAATGTGTCTGGTGGGAGAATCTTTTCTCCTTGACAGCCTTGACCAACCAAGGAGTGCACTGGCATCCCACTGCAGGCCTAAAGGCGGTACCTAGATAGTACAGACAGGAGCTGTGTGGAGTACTGCTTGCTCCAACAAAGCCCACCAGATCCCTCTGCAGTTTTCTCTCTGCTAATAGCAAGTAGATGGGGGTTGTGTTTCTGAGCCGGGAAGCATCTGGTCTGCAGGCTCAACGTTGGCCTGCTCTTTTATGTGTGACTTTCTTACCCTACCACCGCATTGGATGCGGGGATATGAAGAAGGGAGGCAACCATTTTCTCCTGTCTCCAGACGGTTTGGATAAGCCTAAGCTGTCTTGATTCTGCTTGGCCTTTGCAAACATGTGTAGCGAGAACTGTGTACTAATGCAGACCCAGGGAGAGGTTCAGTGCAGGACTTAATGAGGGGGAGCTGCTGTGGGCAGGTGGACAGGGTGGCATATGGACCCTGGTTAAACGCTGGCAGGCTGTAGGATGAGATGAAGCCTAGTGTTTTGTATCTTTGCAAGACACATTACTTTGCTTATTTTGATATTGTGGCACAATTATGTACATATTCGTAAAGGAAGGAAAGAAAGGCTGGTAACCATCAGTTCTCCTCGTTCATGTGGCTCCTTTCCATGAAAATGGGATGGTTTGTTCTGATTCCTGTTTCCTCTCTTGGATGCTGGTGACTCTTGGCTTCCATCCCAAAAATGCCTGCTTCTTCAAATTAATACAGGCTAATTTACAAGGGGTTTGTTTACTCTGGATTCTTAGTGTCATGTCTTCCTTATCAATGCGATGCAGTCTCCACTGTGGAAATTCTTAGTTCTGCTTAGTTTCTGTTTGATCTTCAACTCATCATGATCCTTCTGCGCTCACAAAAAGGTCTCTCTCCTTGTTAACTCCTGGGTGGTGGGTTCATAACAGACAGTCCATTCCCAGGATTTCGGGAATGCGTGGTGTGATGAGGTCTGAAATTGACTATTTCTGTGACACTTATACTTGGTAGATAGCTGTCTTGGCTGATGGGGTTGGTATTTGATGTGTTAACTTCAAACTTATGTTGTTGTTGGTGCATTATGATGATGTGTGTTGACTTTTTTTTCTAGGTTTTGGGGTTGTTTTTTTTTTTTTTTTGTCTGGAAGGTTTCCTAACATGTAGTTCTGATTACAGAGGGTACGTACATCTTTGAGAGAGAGATGAAGGGACATATGCACAGTGAGGATGCTGCAGAGAAATAGAATCAAAATACTTTTTTGAAATAGGAATGACGGAGTCTGCAACTATATGTAGACCCATCCTTTCTTTAGCACTGAAGCCTCCCTGCATGCTCTCCCTGAGATTTCTAAGTCTGTATTTTGTGATGTTAGCTAAACTCTTGCAAAATCTGTAGTATTTTTGTTGAAACAAAATGTACTGAGCACAATGCAGTGGGGTTGTATCTTGAATTCTGCTGGAATCACACACCAAGTACTTGCTGGCGTATGATGGCAAACTGAGAGATGACAGTGTTGGATCACACGTTGCTCTCGTACATTGACGCAGGCAGTTTCTGTTTTTAGCACAAAAATGGAATTAGAGTAAAAGTGTGTTTGCCCACATGGCACCAGTATGACTTTTCCTAAGAAAAAGCACCTGTCAAAGTGCAGTAGCTTCTGAGGAGCTTTGACAAAAAACTCTTAAGGCTTTGGCTCATTTCCTGAAGGCAGCAGCTGGAATGCTGCATTTTGGTTTCCCAGTTCTCTGCCCACGTGAGAAATGGGAACTCTTTCCAAAGAAATTGGGCTGATGGTTCTTTTATCTCATTCTGAAGCATGGTGGCCAGGCAGGTTCCTTGCAGAAGTTTGTCAGGCTGTGGGACCTCAGACTGGTAGCTTTAGTTGTGATGATGACAGCCAACCTAAGGATTTTAGTAACAGCATCCTACGGTCATGCTGTAGGCTTTTTAGCTGGGATGCCAAATCTGCGCTGGTCCTGGAAGTGTAAAATTTCCAGAAACTTTGAAAATACAGAAGATGCATTTCTAGTCTGAATGCTGCAGAGCCAAAAATGTTAACGTTAGAGGAGAAAAACAGAAAAGAAAAATATTATCTATTGGGTATTTAATTTAAAAAAAAACACCCAACTATTATTTTGTCAGTGGACAGTGTAAGTGCTCAGCATGCTTATATAATGTGAATTCTTTATTTTTGGAAAATATTGATTATCTCATCCCAAGGAAGTGTGTTATGATCTCTTTGTTTTGTCTTCTGCATCCCTAAAATGGAGAAAAACCTAAAAATAGAAAACTGAAATTAAGCAAGAGGTGAAGAGAAAGGTTATACATCTAGGGCTTCGGAATAGTGGATTAATGTAACATTAGGTCTCTAGTGTAGCTACACAATACACTTTCTTGTTTGGAAGGAAAATATTTCTAAAATGAAAATGTCTGTATGTATATTCATTGTAATGTAGCCCAAGGGTTACACAGCTATATGTTTTGTGAATGCTTACAGTACATGAGATTTGTAATGTCACAACACTATGAGTTCTGAAGCAGAACTATTTCAGATAATGCTGCCTTTAGTTATGCAGCCTGTTTTGGTGTGCTGCA